TGGTAATATTGAAAAACATCAGCAACGACAAATCCATTTTTGCTACCAATGTGTGTAATTATTGGCTGTGCTTTTATCCCAGTGGACCGACCATCTATACATGAAAGCTTGCACTTTATAATAGATAGATAGATAATAGATATTCCTATTTTCTCTTTGGAACTGTATAACTGTTCTCAAGTACCGTCGTCCTCAGCAGATACTATCGGTTTTCAAATTTTTCCACAATTTCTTCTTACAAATGTGTGGAATGAAATGATCCTTTTTCATTTCGGAAATTATTTTGTCCTAGATGGGTATTTATAAAGTAAAGTTTTATTATTTTGATGGCGGACTTTTTATCCTTATTTATTACAGCTTATTTTCTTCCTGTACTTCTCTTTGGTGACCTGATTGGGCCGCGTTTATCCTTGTGTGCAATTCGGTCGGTATATTGTTGACTCCACTTATATTCGAAGATATTTTTGCAACTCCGAATATTTAGTGTTGGCTGAGAAAAGCTTTGAGAATTGAATTGAGGATAATATTTTGTTCATTTTTAGAAAGCGCAGTTTTGCCAATCCGTTTTCAGCAACAAATTCAGAAACACTAGCCATTTTCAACTACGAACATTGCCAACAACTGCCCGAAAGTAACTATAATTATAAGTTTAAACACTGAGGAGCAGGTGGATAACAATATTACGCCTATTGAATACGGCTTAGACCAGTAGGTTTTAGAGTTAAATAATGATTAGAGAGGATGATACTCTCCTATCAAGAAGCACAGCTTACTTAGTGCATTTTTTAAAGTAATGTATCCAGTGTACTGACTCTAAAGTGTTTCTTGCCGCTCATTATAGATCATACATATCTTTCTAGTCTGGTACATTTCTTAACTATCTCTTAACTGATCTTGCAAAACTATTTGAACTTGAATAATGCAACGTTTTTTGCATTATTGCAGTCCTCTTGTTACTTTTTACGGACTCATCTTTCTTAGATTTTGAACCACTGCCATTATTGAAAAACATTCACGTTTCGTCTAAAATACCACTTTTATTAATTTTGATATGTAATTTTCACTATATTTCTTTAAAAATTAAATACACAAGATTGAAGAAAAGGCAAGGTGAAGGTTTGTTGTTGATAAATTGATAATTGATAATTATACCCCGCAGTTACTATCCAATAATGCTTAACGCCTTTTAATAACTTTGAAATCATTGAAAACAGTAGTATTTATGGGCTAGCAATCGTGCTATGAGTGAGGCGATTCCATCAATTAATTGGAGTCGCAAGAAAAAAAAAAAAAGGAAACGATGTGACTTTTATGAAGCCAGTAGCGAAATAAGAGCCCAACGACCTAGTGCAAACCGCATTTTAATAACCTAAAATATGTATAATAGAAAGATGAATTTTGGGAAGCATTTCCACTTTACGGGTTATTATGAATCTAATTATGCCGAATTTACCAAATCAAACATTAATTTATTATATAGGAATCTAAATGATGTCGAAATAAAATTTTGTTGCTAGTCCTTATTTTTTTGCAGTTTTGTTTTTTTTTTAATTTTATAATATATATTTATTGTTATGTTATTTTTATTAAAAGACCCTTTTAAATACACCAAGTTTATTAAAATGCGTCCAGCCTTTTAATTACATTAATTTCCGAAAATGCTCGAACCCCCACTATTTCCCTAGAGCATTAAGCAAAAACGACTTCAATTTTTAACTATAGTTAATATAAGAAAATTTTGAAAAAATAGGCTTTTAAAAACCAAGATTGGAATAACGCCACCTGATTGCAATTTCAGAAACCCGAAAATAATTTCTAGCATTTTGTCCTGGCCAATTTACTTAATTTTCTTAGTGAAATTTCTGCTCCGTCAGTGTCCCAAATCCCCATCTCGTCGCCCTTATTGGTACACCCGATATATTACCGTTTTGCTCAAAAATTACGCCAAACTGAATATCTAAAATGTAGGGGAACGACAAGCGCAACCTTCAAATCAAATTATTTTTCAATTTCCTGCATCCCGTCACACCTAGTAACATCCTTTCCGGTCTGGCACTAGAGCCGCATTAAAGTTAACGCGAACCGTATTGATCTACCTCTTCAAATAACTGAACATTATATCTCGAAAAAAAAAACTCACGCAGAGTCTTCTCAAACATTATTACCTGTTATCCCGTCACATCCTGAAATGATCTATCATATCCCGGCAGAAATTCCATTAGAGTCATTCGATTGCAATCAATCAGCGAATACGCGAAACTTTTTTTTTAATTTGCGGGAAAAACGCTACGTCTCGCATCGATTGCGACGTTTCACTCTTACCATTGTAATTTGTTCGTCGCCTAAATGTTCATCACGAGGTCAGTCGAGATTTATTTATTTAAGACCTTCAAGAACTTCGCTGGAGGATACAGGTTCGACGCTGGTTTAAATCCAATAACGGACATTTCGGCTATATTGAACAGTAGTAACACCAACGACAGCGTGGATGTCGTGTTGTCTGATGGACAAGAACCATGCAGGTGGATGCGACAAGGCAGCTGCGTAGTGTGCAAAGGCTAGCTAGTCTGTCACCAATAATTGGTGTGTATAGCAACAAATATGATCAGCTATACATGGAAATAAAAGCAAGGATGCCTAGGGACGGCGCTACATCCAGGTATTGTTTTGTTAACCATCAATAAGGACCGGAATAAAGACAGGCCAAGAAATTCCTCAGAAGTTGATCGTCCAAATTTACAGCAGATCTTCTAAGTCACAAATGAAAGGCTGTAAATATAATAGTAGTTCTACCGACGGGCCACTGTGCCTAAGAGACATCGATGCCTAACGAAAGTGAAAGAAAGCATTCAATAGAGATTCTACCGAGTGGGGGAGAAAAAAGCAACAAACGTAGTATACCAATGTGAAGGTCTATCGATAATAACTTTTCATGTTCAGATGCCATTATGGGAGCTGTGGAGTCTCTCATAAGAAACGAACTTAGATGAAGCTCTATAGCTACAGAGAGAGAGAGAGAGAGAGAGAGAGAGAGAGAGAGAGAGTCACAATAGATCCTTTGGACCGCAGAGACGGAGACGCTAATTGCTAACTTTCTCAATTTGGATATTAAATTTTTATGCAGATTGGTCTATAATTGTCTAGATCACGATTCTCTTTCTTCTTGAGCACCGGCATAACTCTTCCAACTGTGTGATTAAAAAATTTGGTTAACTCGAACATGTTGTTAGGGCAGGTTTCGTATATTGTGGCAGTTCACTAATTCATCAGGTGTAAATTGAGTTTCGTCAGTAGGAAGGATACGAAAAAATTCAGTATCCTCAATACCCTTGTGCTGTAACCATGTGAAAAACTGTAAGGCCCATCGAAAATATCGATTACGCAACGCGCTGGATACAATAAAATAAAAAAGTTCATTGTTACCGAAATTTACAATTCTGTTTTTTAAAACAATCTCTTTTACATCCTGTCTGACAAACATTCATAATCTTCTAAAAGCTGACCATGCATCGGAAAGGAAGCAGTTAAAAGCGCAAATCCTGCAAATCCATATTCAAACATCGTAGTCGGTTTGGACTTCGAAGATGGTCGGGATAGTCAATGCGGCTACTGTACTTGTAGATGAGATTTCTAACATCTCTGACATTTTCCAAGTAGCTGTTCTCTTTTTGGTGATGTTTTGGTTGCCTTCAATTTTGTTGGTGTAGTACGTTGTGGGATGCCTGGAAAAGGTTAGTTTACTGTTAATATAAATTTTAAATATAGATAACATTTTTTAATCTGATTATAAAATCCTCGATCGGGTCTATAAAAAGACAAATTAAAAATCGACAGCATTTCAATTTCAAAGCTGAAATCGAGGTGTAAACCGAGGTGTGAACTTTTCTATGAGTCAAAAGTTTTAAGTCTAGTTTTTAATATCCTAGTCACTAAAAATATGCTCTTAACCACAATAATACACTTGAGCTTTAACCATAAGAAATTACTTACATACCTATACAAGAAAGGATGCTCTCTAATTAAATAGTACAAGTAGTTTGCAACAATTTTTTAATTTTTATTTTACATTCGCTGCAAGACTTAGATCTAAATGAAACAGGTAAATAGATATAAATCTTAGATCCTACTACATAAACACTATTTATATATATGGAGAACATGATTGATATTTGTTTCATAATTATCAAACGAGTTGCTATTTTTTATATGTGAATAATATTACACTATCCCATAATTTATTATGTATTCTGCAAATGCTTCGTATAGATATCTGATTCTCGTAAATTTTAGTATGTCCTCAGTTCATAAAAAACGTATATCAATTTTCGTATTTTATATCTAACATATTTTACGCTATATAATAACCATTGGATCATCAGCAATTAGATCCTTACAATGCCATGAAGCTTGCTAATTTTTAACATTGTAGATTCTACACAAATTTTGCCATGTGCAGCCTTTTGCTTACTGTTTCGGTGTGAGCACATGACGAAATGTAAATCTATCTAGTTCTACATTTTTTTAGGTCATTAAATTAGCAAAAGTTTTAGAATTTATTATGCGGATATCTGGAATTTTATGCAGTTACAAAATCAAGGAAAATGGGCATCTTTGTTGTTTTCTCTTTTTACTATTTTAATGCAATATTTTTGTGTGGTGCTTTTTAAAACTGTAATATTTTTTGAATATATTCGACTTGTATTTAGAATTATTTGAGTCTCTTTGTTTTCGCAATAAACAGGCCGTACTCAAACCTTGGAGTTCCCTTAATTCGCTAATAAATACCAAATTAGTGAGTTGAAAGTATTATTAGTAAGTAAGTAAGTATTAGACTTCTCGATTTATGAAGTTTCTATTTGGAAATGCTACTTACTTTTAATGATGTTTATGCGTCCAAAACCGATGGCATATATATATATATATATATATATATATATATATATATATATATATATATATATATATATATATATATATATATATAATTTTTTTTCTTTTAGGTCTCAAAACCATTATTAACGCGTTATTACACTCCTTCAAGCAGTTGGCGGAAGTCATGACACTGACCATATTCTGCCTGATGGTTTTTGCTTTGTTTGCTTTACAAGTATATAAAGGAGAGCTGCGGAACAAATGTGTGCTGAAGATGGACGACAACAACTCGTCATACGTAATGTGGTACAAGTTAGTAACTTAATTGTAATTGTAACTTGTAAATATAGAAATTATGATTTTGAGTTGCCATCATTGTGATGTTCTACAGCAGATCAGATCTACTTCGTCAACACACCTATTAATTTATATTTTCCAATTTTCCATTGTATAGCACAACTAAACATTTTTTCACTTTTCGATTAGTATTAGTTTACTCATTCTTTAGATCATACTTAATCTAACTTTTATTATTTACATGAGCGACAGCCGGAGTTCAAACAATGGCAAAGTAAATGAACTGCTTCGAAATTTCATTTTTCGGGACATGTATGTAGTATTTTAAATTATTACTATTATTAATTTTAAATGTTGCGTTTCACATTGACCGATAAGAAATTAATTTTTTTTACTCCCTTCTATAAAATTCACGAATCCGAGCCACTTCGGATATTTCCGGGTTATTACCGGACAGGTTTGTGTGAAATCGGATGTTTTCAGAGATATTTCAAATGGCTTGAATTTTGACGTTTGTTAAATCTGACGGACCTATAGCCAAAAACTAACGGTCATAGAAAAAGTATAGCATGCAATAAGTTTGGTAAACTTTTTGATGTTTACCACACTTATGCACACCATTGAAACGTATTTGCAGAAACTTCCATAAGTACATCTGTTGATTTACCGGATGTTTCCCTACTAATGTCTCATATCTTAATTTTTTTTTATTTTGGTATGTAAATTAAATTATAGCTGTTGGAAAATGATGTTTTTTTTTCTATTTCCTACTCTAAAATACTTAATTATGCACCCATCGAGCCCACAGAAAATGTCACTTGTGCTATACTTTAGTCACTGGTTTGGAGGTTATCGGAGGTTTTCGGTAGATTCAAATCGCGGATGGTATTTTGACATTTGTTAGTTAGTAATTCCTACGACCGAGCAAAGAGTGATGTTTCACTCTAATCCTAATCTTATTACTAACGAGAGAATGTCCATAATAATATTAATAATAGTAATTAAAATAAATGAAAAATAGTATATTACGCAAGAAATATGATAAACACCAAATTAAACTAGTAGGTTTGCCAAGAGTGAAGCGCAGCGGAGCACTTGCTTAGGAAACGAGTGCCTGTACTTCTAGGGCCATTAGCTTTGAATATATTCATGCAAAATGGCGTCGGATGTGACCGCCAGAAACACCCGATCGCTCCCAAACCCGTTACTAAAATACCGAAAACATCCGAAATGGATCGCGACAGTAGATAACAAAGCTTAAAGTGGCGAACGCTTGATCCTTGCATAGATAGGTATTCTTTATCGTATTAACTCGTAATCAATCGATTGTCAAAGGATCTAAATTTAAATAATATTATGAAAGATATGGATCAAAAACTCGACAAGCCGACATGACATATTCTTAAATTAATTAAAAATTTATGTTGTTATTAATTCTGTCTAGAAGGATTTGCCTCATCATTTTTGTACATTTAGATAAGTGTCTAGTGGGTTTAACCTTATGCGGGTGTAAAACCTATTTATTAAGCGTTTTTTGGACTTCCACGTATAAGGTGGAATGTTTTCTTTATGTGAAGTTGTTTGAATTCTGTTGTATCGCAAGGAAAATATTTAATTCTGAATGTAAATTCGACATTTTGTGAAACTTCCTATACACAAAGTGTTCCTTAATGGCGTGTCAATATGGGATAATTCTTGGATGCACTTTAAGACATCCATTCAATTACACAGCGGTAAAATTTTCAGGAGAAAAGAATTGTTTTATACTGTTTAATTGTATTATATTACCAGAAACGATGCATTATATTTTTTCTGGTGCGCAACACTTTTTTATCAGTGGCGTTCGTCCGCTGTTTGTATCGCCTATTTTCGATAAAAAATGGTACCACATTGTCATTGTTTAAGGTAATCACTTTCTTTGTAAATAACTAAACTATTAATTTCTGCATAAAATTCACACCATGCGTTTTCCTTGCCAAATGCTCCTTAAGATTTTACGAATCTCCTATGGAAACAATTTCACTAACCTGTAGACCGTGTGTGATCATTTTTGGGTAACTATAAAATCATGGTTTTTCATTTTAATTTAATTTTAACCAAAACTTTATAAGTTTTTCACGAAATTGATTGGTTTTCATACGTAGCCTGTGAAACCAATGCTATTTTTGATGTTTTTAAGTTGGACGAGAGATCCGGAAAACTGGTTAATCAAAAACGAGACAGGCGATCCGGTCCTTTGCGGTAACGTGACTGGATCCCGCCACTGTCCGCCAACACACACCTGCCTCTGCGTCGGCGAAAACCCCAACCACGGGTATACGAGTTTCGATAATTTTTTGTGGTCGATGCTAACGACGTTTCAGCTCATTACCCTCGATTACTGGGAGAACGTGTACAATATGGTGAGCTGGACCGAACAGTGCTGGGATTAATTAACTTAAAATTTCATTTCTGTTTCAGGTGTTGGCATCTTGTGGACCAATTAGTGTATCTTTTTTCACGGTAGTGGTGTTTTTCGGTTCGTTTTACCTCATCAATCTAATGTTGGCTGTGGTTGCGCTTAGTTACGAAGAAGAAGCGGAAATAACTCAAGAGGTAAGTCATAATTATCTTTCAGTTGGCCCCCTTTTACTTTCGCCGGAACAACTAGTATCTAAAAAATGGTCCTTATACTTTTTTGCAACATAAAATTGTTCTCCTTGTATCGCCAGACCACCAATGAAATGCCGTTTATTGAGAAATATTGTTATATTAGATATACTTAAAGCTGATCGGGGTGTAATCGCACATTTTCGGAAATAAACGTCAATATCTTCCAAATGGCTGAACACATGCTATCAAACTTGGAGTTATCAAAACTCTTCTTGGGCTATCAACGCTGCCCTGAGCAGATTGATTTTGGTTGCCTGTATCGCTGCTAAAGGACGTTTTACAGCACTATAAATAAAATTTATTTTCTTAAAAAAGTTAATCGCAACGATATCACTTTTATTACTACAGAATATAGCCAAATATTGGCAAACACAAATAGCCAATAATGGCATTAAAAAAATAAATAAATAAAATAATACCGCCATATTTTAGATAAAGATAGGTAAACTTTATTATATTCAAAATGTCAACCAAAATTAATACTCATTCAATATGATTGAAATTGAAATTCGAAAAAATAGGAACATTGGTGTTTAAGTATTAATCATTTTAAGATTGATTTTGGTCACTTTATTTGTGTTCCACTTGTAAAAGTGCTTGGTATGTTTCGCGGTTTTGTCAAAACATTGAAAACCAGCTACCAACGTAATCGAATTTATAGCAACTTTAAAACTGAGTTGATTTTAGTAATTTATTTCTCAAAAAATGGGAATTAAAATTCAACTATGCGATTATGCTCCTTGGCGGCCATTCTAAAAATTTAAAAATAATTTCCAACATTTTCTCTGGGCCGCTTTTGTCATAAGTTCACCCAAGTCTTTGCGATAATTACTTTTCTAGATAGGATCGAGTGCCCTTCTTTATTGACCACCCGGTACATATAATATTGGCACTTAAAAATGTTCTTATATGTGTGAACTAAATTATTCTGGGCATATATTGAAAAAATTCAATCAATCCCTTGTAAGCTTTGGTCAAAATCTGCTTACTCTATTGACTAACTGGTAAATACCTCCTTTTTTTTGAGTGACAAAAAATCTAAATTTATTTAAGACCGAAATAATTTAGAGAATGGTGGGACATAAACTCTCCTACTCCCTGCTCAAAAATATTCAATTATGCAATCATGCATTGATCAGGCGTGAGCAAAGTGTCAATTTAAGAAGTCGCTTTCGTTAAACACTGTCGCATTATGCACCCAAAAACGGAGTAAGCAACATGTTGAGACACTTCTTCAGTCACTGGTTTATTAAGCACTCGCTCCGCTTGTACCCTTTTTCTTTTCGTTCACTTAATTCTACTTCGTACTTTCTTATACAAGTTTCTTTAATAGTTTAATTTCATACCTCAATCTTACCCCACACCTGACACCAAGATTTTCTTTTTTTTTTGTGTTTTCCCACTTACTGTTATTTTTTTCACTATTATTGGGGAAAATCGACAACGACCAAATTTTGAATACTGATTTCACCCAATTAACAATTATTTTCAATTGGACTTATTTACCTACTGTACCATGATATAGATATATTAACTCACATTCAAGACCTATAAAATATAATAAAATTCATTACCCGTAAATCACTTCTGACGTTTCCGATATTTTAGTCAGGGGTTTGGGAACTGTCGGATGTTTTTCATGGATTTTAGGTATAGTTAGTTTGTTAACTCTGACGGTCGCCTCAAGCGTCACCCAATCAATGTACTGGTGCAGTTTTACAAAAATGTACTCTAAATCCGAGGGTTGTTCCAAAGGCATAGTACGTAACACATTGACGGACTTCATCAGTCACTAGTTAATTAAGCACTCGCTCTGAGGGTGTCAAATCAAACTCGTGGTAATTTTTTAAAGAAACTACCACAGGCAACTGTTGGTTGTTGTTGAGATGAACTTGCTAACTTTTCGCCAATCATCCTATTGGCTTCTTCAGAGCTTAACTGAAACTGCAAAACAGTGATGATTAGAGAAACGGTAGCAAGTTCGACTCAACAAAAAATACATATAAGGAGAATAAAACAATATATGAATTTAAGTTTAAAACACTTAAAGTTCCGAAACAAATTTGTAAAAGTGGACAGGGTACACAGGTTTAAAATTTGAAATTTAGGTACTCTTCAGTAATGGAAAAAGTTTATTGTCAGTAGATTGTAAAGAATTGTTACCAAGGCGTTTTATATTAAAAGGTAATTTATTGAAAAAGTCCAGGTTTAAAGAATTTTTAATCTATTTATTAAGACGGTATCGGGGAATCGTTAACTGGTGTGCATTACGCGTTGCGTGAGAATGAGTTTCAGACTGAACAAAAAAACTAGATTTATTAGAGTCAATATCGATTAGGTCATTGTATATAAAAGAAGATGGTAAAGTCATAATATGAATACTGGAAAAATGTGTTCCATAAGATTCTCTATACTCCAAACCAAGAAAGCTTTTTTTTTAATACATAACACTCTGACTGCATGAGATCCACCCCATATGGTGATCCCATATAGCATTTTAGAGTGTAATAAAGCGAAATACTCACTTCTCATAACTCGAGTATTAACAGATTGATTAAACTTTCGCAGCGTAAACACTACGGATGAGAACGATTTACATACAAAGGGAGTCAATATGAACAGACGCTCGTGCCTTTCGTAATATTAACATTTGTGGAAACTAAAGGATTTTGCGTTTTATTTCTGTTCAAAAGCAAGTTATTTGCCACTAACCAAGATCGCGCCCGCTCCTCAGCAATATTATTTCTACTACTTCTACTCTTCAGTTCGTCTAGAGATGAACTTCCGCAGTACATTTTATGGGCTTAATAAAATGTTCAAAATCACTTATATAAATGAGGAAAAGGGGCGGACCCAAAACCGATCTTTGCGGGACACCGAGATGCTGGGGAAATTTGCGCAGAAATTCACCTTGACATCTCCTGAAAAAAATAGATTTCAGTTAAGCTGAGATAAGTACGAATGAAGTTGTTGAAATTATTCTATAAACAAATGAAAGTCGCACAGACAAGATTTAAAAACACGTATTGACTCGTTTCACTTTTCTGTCACAAAATTGGGCAATCCTTTCTGTACTAGAGTTTGAGAGGTCTAGATTGCTGGTTTCAAATAAACATACATAGCCCGCCGTGATTACCGGAAGGGCGTGAATAAAAATTCGCTGTCAAGCCAATGTTCAGAAAAGCAAATAAAATTTAATAAAACATTATCTAAAAATAAGTTTAGTTGGCCAGTCTTATTAGGAAGACATTGAACATTCAAATGCATGACAGAAACATCGTCAGTATTAACACTATTGTCCCAAGCCAAAACGTTGTTCGTCGTAGGCCTAGCCTATCCTAGTCAATTACTAATTATTATGGAAAAATCTGTTGATATGGATTCCTGCTGGCTATAAAGTTGGATCTTGGGCTCACACACACTAGTCAATTGTGACCTTTAAAGAGGAATAATATTTCTGGTAAAGTTCAATATACTATTTCCCACAAGACCAAGTTTATTAAAATCAGTTCAAAGTTAACGAAAACTAACCGAATCAAACTGTGCTTCTCACTCAACTTACACGGTTAACAACGTGCTTACAATTCGATGGTATCGCATACCATTCTCACGCCAGAAATGTTCATTGGAAAATGTACTACATATTACGAACAATTTTCTTGGAGATTCTCAGCCGATCCTCAAAATTATTATTAACCGACCACTGCAGCAAATTTAATATTATAAATGGAAAACATTCTCATCAGTATTCCACAGATGGAACGCAGTGTCGAAAAGTTTACCACTTTAAATTGCCCCTTTCCATTGAAAGTTTGGTACCGTCGTCGGAACACTCGACGCGCCATTGTTATGGCCCCGTTCCGTTTATTCTTAACTTCCGACAAACTTTTGACTCTTCGTTTTGGAAACATCGAAACGCTCTAAATGGCCGAACATTCGGAGCTTTGACGTATTGACATCAATTCACTCATTGACGGATTTTGGAAATTACAAATGTTTCAATCTGCAACAATGCATGGCACAGCTTATTGAGTAAGATAAAGGGTGATATACGGTGAACGAGACGCAGGATCTTTTTGAAAATTTTGTCGTTTCGAATGTACTTTCAGCTATGTGGCGTTACTACTTCTTCAAAAAAGTAGTATCAACTTTGACATTTTAAATAACACACCCTCTATTCTATTTTATTTTCCGCCTCGTCATCAATCAAATACAAGCTCTATCAATTAGTAACAAAACTAATAAAATATAAATAACCAAACATAACAAAAACATAGATAGTTTACTTAATATTCATGCTGCCTGCAATACGTCAACAAGAATCAAAGCACCAACACCTTGGTTTAATGATAATTTAAGGTTTATGAAACGGCAGAGAAATAAAGCGTTATCTAAGTACAAAAGACTAAAGACGCATGTAGCAAAAAATGAATATAAAACCTTGCGCAACCTTTTTGCTATGGTTCTCATAATAGGAAAAAATGCTTATCTGGAAGACTGAATCATTTGAATATTAATACATTAATGCAATCCAGCCGATGTCTCTGATTCTTTGACATGGTATCATATTTTTCAAGAAAGTGTTCTGCCACCTGATAATGATATGATTTCGGAATTCGCATTTAGGTTGTGTTTATGATGGAATTAATAGTGGGCTAAATTTTGAACTCTATCTCAGGAGCATCTGCATACAGTAATATCCAAAATTAAGTCAAGGTACATGGCATCGCTGTAAAAATACTTTTTTTACATACAACTCTTCTTACATCTTATGTTTATTTATACGTTTATTTTTATATTTCAAACATAATTTCATCATCTGAAATCTCATACTTCGTCCTATTAACATGCTGTGTACAATGTCTAAAATATCGGAGAGGATTATGTACCACCAACTTATTAATCATGTTCCTGAAATATTTTACCTGCCACCTAATCTGCGT